AAAAAAAAAAAAAAAAAAATTAATTTGCATATAGCTTGCCTACGTTTCTCAGTTTAAGCTTCGTTGCATTTGTTCTCAATAATAAATATTCTCTAAGACCTGCTTATCGTTACACTTACAACAACTAACAGAGTCTCTGGTGCTTTACTTCTTGTTAAGTACAAATTGAGCAACTTAGACAGCTCACGATGAGTTCACTTATCCAGTAAGATCATGTACTTTGACGCCTCTCAATTGGCTGCTCTGGGGCTACAGTGTGTCACTCGAACAAACCAAACACTTTGGAATGCCTCGAGGACAACACTCGAGAAGTTGTTGACGAGACATAATATAATACATATTTAACCAGTTTACCGAAAGTTGCAGCTTAAGCTGGAAGTAGTGTTAGTAAAGTCATTGTCGAGTTATTTGAATAATGTATTATCGCATGTGGTTTTCATATATTTTTTCTTTGGTAGATCATTTATTTATATATTTGAGTAATTAACTGAAATATTATCAGTTCTTCATAAGTTGTTAATAAGAGGAAATTTTTGAATTAGTATGCAGAAATAAATTAAGTACACTTTTTTTATTTTTATAAATATAATTTTAGTTATTTACATTACTTTAAATATACATTTTATTTATTTTCAGTTATTTATTAAACTCCAGTTAAGTTTTTATTATAAATAGTTTGTTATATACAGCTTTAAAATATTATGATTTGGTAATTTTAATACAAAAAAATTTAAATACATATAAATTCCGTCCATATTTTGTATGATACTCACTTTATATATAACAAGTTAAGCAACTGGACTCCTAACTTTTCTCCCCTCAAACCCACCTCTCCACCCCTCTCACTCTCTTTCTTCTCATCACACTCTCTCACTCGCTCTCTTGCTAATTTGATGATTAAAACCATTTTTGCTCTCATCATTTTCGAAATTAGAAAACATAAAATGCTAGCATAATTTGCTGGGCCACCGTAAACATTTGCCCCAGCCCTAAATGCAATTTAAATATGGTCACATAATCGTTAAAGTCAGTCGCCTTTCAGAAATTGTGTGACAATTATAAACCAGAGCAATAATGTGGCCATCAAAGTATACAACCCTCTGCTGTACTGAGCTGTGGCTGAGGCAATATTCATAAATTTTAAAGCAGGACAAGAAAAGAAACAAAACAAAACAAAAAGGGGAAAAAAAGGAACACCCATCAAATTTTCGGAAAATGTAATAAAACATCAAATTACCAATAATTTGGAGGACTAGGCAGGGCAAGGATTTTTGAATCCTTTTTTCACTCAACCAGTTGAATTGACCGTGATGCGGCTGCGGGTCGAGGGAGGCGGCCTTCAAGACTCGATCAAGTTGGACAGCAACACGTGCCGCTTTCTGATTGCGGATACTTTTCGTCGGCCCGTTGGCATTTTATAGCGCCAATGAGGCATCCAGTTTGGTCAACCCCAAACACCAACCCAAATCCCTAACCGAAACCCAATCTCAATTCTAAATCTATCCCTAACAACGAGTTCAATGTATTTTGCTGGTCATTGGCGGCGGCCAAAGGATTAGGCCACGTAGCTTGCAAACTGCTCTATAGAGTGTTTACTGAATGTGCGAGTGTGTGTGTGTGTGTGTGTGTGTGTTTGCGTTTGCCTTCCTTAATGTGTGGGCGTGGCAGCGGGCCATACAACTTGTTACTGTGCGCACATTACCATAATGTATTTTATCTGGCTGCTGACTTGTGCGGCCCCTTAGTTAGAAATCACTTAAGACGCTCTGCTCCTGCTGCTGCTGCTGCTGCTGCTTCTGTTGCTGCCTCTACTCCTGCCAACATAATAATGCCCATTGCCCATTCTTTTGGTATTAGTTCGTTTCAAGTTACCCACAGTTCGCTTGACTGACTGTCTGGCATGCCTGAGCTGGACAGCAGTCAGACCAGGTCGATGTTCGGTCTTCCTTCGACCGGTTGGCAACCGGCTTTTGGTTTTACATGCTCATTCTCCTCATCATTCCTTGTGCCTTTTGTGTGTCTGTCTGTGCATTTGTTTCGACTTGCGTGAAATTGCAAAATCAATCAATTCGATTACGTATACGTAATATTTATAAATATTTAATGTTAAGCATTATACGCATTTTTGCCTGCCTGCCTTCGATGCGTTACGTTACGGTTCGATGTTATGTAAATGGCATTGTCTTCAGCGGCAGTAGATTGTGTGTGTGTGTGTGTGGTGTGTGTGTGTTTGCTGTATTTTATGTACTGGGCCCTGCCAGGCTCTGTGTTTTGGGCTCCTCGAAATGGTTTCGATATGTTAATAAGTAATGTTGAGGCAAGTTTTGGCATAACCTCAAATTTGCTGAGCTCATTTGGGATATTACATGCATATAGATTTACTTGTTATATACCTATATATCAGTATGTATATTTATACAGTTGTATATATTAAAGCACATATTCTACACTGTGCAATTGGTATTCGGCAATTTGAATTGTTATTATGTCTTTGACAGGGTTGATTATAATGTTACTGAATGCAGAGGTAGAGAGATGGTATATGAAAAATATATATATATCTATTATTACATAAATATTTGTTTAATCATTAAGTGAGACTAATTTCTGTTATTCTTTTTGTATTACATAATAATAACAAATAGGCGTTTCCACTTAGATGACAAAGATTTATTGCAATGACTTGTAATCAATTTTATTTCTTTTTTTTTTATTAATTTCTTTTTATACATATATTTTTATTAAAAATCGTTTTATTCCAGCGTAACTTGTAAACACAGTAATTACTAATGGTCACACACTATTTTAAGAATATTTATATGTATTTTGACAACACAGAGCATAAAAAGCTAATGAAACCGGAATGCATGATTCAATAACAATTTCGTGCCGTTTTAAATACAAAGTAAAATTTTGACACCTGTTGTCCTTGATCTATCTTTGATATTTGACTATTTCAAAACATTTCTATAAAATTTTTCTATAGAATGCTCAGATTAGTCGGTGTCTTATTCCCGGAACTGAATAGGTTCACAAAGAGAGAGTGATAGCAAAACGTTGGCCCAAGTGTTTATCTGATTGCATTTACTTTGAAGAAGACTAAAGAGATATGAATAAATAATTAAAGTTTTAAAGGAATAAGATTTCTATACATATGCGTTTTAGTTAAATAAAATATAAAAAAATAATAAGAATCAAATTAATGAATATATAAATATAAGATGAATCTCATTATCTAGTTTTGTTTGAAGTTCAGTGATTAAATCTCGACTGATTCCACGCTTGAGAGAGCAAGGCTTCGTCTAATTGTTAATGTAGATTCATCAAATAGCAACACTTAAATTAAACCTGAATTTTCTCTTGCCTCTATTGTCATGGTGCTCCTTTAATTGGGCCAATTAGGTATAAGTGTTTTACTTACTGATGTGCCCATATTCGATTTGCACAATGTGCTAAACTTGTGGAAAATTCCAGTTGAATTAGTCTATTTGAAGCGTATATTCAAACATGAATAACTTTTATAATATTTGTCCTAATGAAGTGACTTTTTATACATAAATGACTTTTTATTATATTTCTCTTTATGGGGTGAACATTTTATTTATAGATAAATTTTAAGTAATATTTATAATTATTAGATATTTTATGAGATTTAAAAAACACATAACTACTGCGAGTTGGAAAAAAAAAGTTTAAAGATTTAAACTCAATCGAATTGCTAAATAAAAAGAGAATATTTGTAAATGATTGCTCTTTCCGTCACTTAACGTTTTTTCTCATGTAATTATTTGCAGTTTTTGAATTTTATTATTATTTTACAATTACAATTTTTTAACAATTGCATAGACAATGACAAATGTTATTGTTGTCATTGTTTTGTTTTTTTGTTTTGTTTTTTTCTCTACAAGCATTATATATTTAAGAGCATTAAAAAGCTCTATTGATATTTAATGAAGTTATAAAATCGCGAGATATTTGCAATGCGCTTGACCTCATTGGGCTGTGCAACAATTTCGATTCGGTTCGATTTCGGTTGACCATATTTAGTTCGGGGCTTTTTCCCACTGTTTTTAGCAGTTCATGAAATATGTAAACCTTTGTTGCATACCATGCCAGGCCACGATCTGCCCGCCTGCTCTATTCTAGTGGCTGGCATATTTTAAAGGCATTTCTCTTTTTGTTTTTGTGCAGACCTCATGCAGTAGCGGCTTTTAAATAAATGCTGCGCTTTTTTCCCAAATCCAATAATGTGAAAAAGTTTGTTTAATTGTTTTAAAATGTTTGTGGGTATGTGTTACAGGCAAGGCTTATCTGTGTGTGCGTGCGTGTGTGTGTGTGTGGCGTGAACTGCACAATTTTTGCTTTTTTATTTG